AGTATTATTTTTAATTATGAATCTTGTATGGATTTTTGCAGGAGAGAGAAGGTGCCACAGAGGGCAAAAGTGTCAGATCCCTATAACTGGAGTTACAGCGGGTTGTGAGATGCGGAGTGGGTGCTGGGCATTGAACTCAGGTCCTGGAAGAGCAGTACATGCACTTAGCCACTGAGCCATCTCTCTAACTACACTCCCTTTAAATCAACTCAAAGTCCACAGAGAGAAACATTTCATGTCCCAAGCCCTCACTACCCGCACCCCTGCTGGTCAGTCCTCCTAAGCTCCTCTGGGAGTCATGGAGGAGCCCCTAAGAGAAGCAGCGATGACACCTGTCTGAGCTGGTCCTCACTCTCACAGCTGCCTGGTTCCTAAGCTGAAGGAATTAGGAACGTCCCCCATGTCCCCAACAGTCTGCACAAGAAAATTCTATTTAAAAGTTCCAATTCATAAAAAATAATAATTACAGATCTCAAAGCATCAGACAATATAACAGTTTCTACAGATGTGGACTTTGAAGGTCACCTCTGCTCTTGGCTCTTCTTGCCCTCCTCTCTGTGACCTGGTTGCCAGAGGTTTCTGTCACCATCAACTGAGCAGTCATGCAATTCCTTCAGCACCATGAAAAACTGAAACTTTCTAAAACCATGAAGCCAAAATTTTTCCTCCTTTCAGATTAATTAGATTAATATGGTGGCCACAGAAACACAGTGTTTATATCTCTATAAAACCTTTCAGTAAGCTCAAAGGAGTGTGGCAACTGAATAGTCTAGTGACAAGGTCTTCAGGCATCAAGGTCTCGTGTGAAATGAAATGAATGCTATGTTCTATTTTGTTTCTTGCTTTCAACAACATATTAGAAAATATAGGTAAAATGAACAACTTCTGAAACTATATTTGAAGCAGAACAATATCACATGCAAATATACAATAATGGCAAGGCAAGGGTGTGGTTAGTGGCTCTGGGTTCATGCTGTGGGGGAGAATAAATTAACAGAGGAAGGACTGGGAAGATAAATCATCCAGTGAAATACTTGTCCCACGAGCATGCAGATCTGAGTTTGAACCCCAGAATGGCCAGGCCTTGTGCTCCACAAATGGAGACACCAGATTTCTGCATATCACTGACCAGCCAGTCTAGTCTAACAAAGTCCCGGGTCCCAGTGAGAAACTGTCTCCAAAACCAGAAAAACATCTCAAGGATCATGACCCAAGGTGGACCTGTGGTCTCCACACATATGCTCATGCTTGTCAACACATACACAGACATCCATACATAAATACATATATACACAAAAATAAATAAATAAAATAGGCAACAGCTATCATAAAAACAACTCTAAATGCACTTAAATATTCACAGATAATTTTTTATTAAAATATTCAAAATTAAGTGCATATAATGAGGTCTACTGTCAAAACATAATCAGAATTGATTTAAGCCTAGAACAAAAAGTTGGAACAGCTTTTTTTAATTACACGTGGATTGATTTTAAATTAATAAATTGTTAGAATGACAAAATGCCCTAAATTAATTTATAGAATCAATGTAGTAACTCTCTGCTTTCTTATAGAAATGTACAAGTTGATTCTGAAATTCACACAGAAGGGATCCTGTAAGGGATCCTATAAGGGATCCAGGGTTGGAGAGATGGCTCAGGAGTTAAGAGTGTGTGATGTATAATCATGAGGACCAGAGTTAAGATCCCAGCACCCACATAACAAGCCAGCTCTGAGGGAACACAATGACCTCTTTTGGTTTCCATCCCTGTACAAACACAAAAGGAATGTGCCAGGTATGGTGGTGAATGTCTTTAGTCTCATCACTTGGAAGCAATCTGAGGCCAGCTGGGTCTTCATAGTACATAGTAAGTACCAGACTAACCAGAGCTGCATAGTGAGCAGCCTGTCTCAAAAAATAAATAATAAAATAGAGAGAGAGGAAAAAAAAGAAAAAGGATGGGAGAAAGAAAGAGAAAGAAGGGGCAGAATAATACTGGGGGGAAAAAGCAATTGGAGAAGTCTCAATGGATTCCAAGACTTATTACAAGGTTCCAGTACTTAAACCAGATAGTACCTGGGTAAGGACACACACAGAGATAGGCCAGAGCTCAGAATTCAGAAATAAATTTCACTTTGATAGTCAATTGGCTGTTGACAAGAACTCTAGGGTGTAGAGCAAGAGTCCTTCCAGTAAAGGTATTAGAAAACTCAATACTTGCATCCCAAAGAATAAAGTTAGGGGCCAGTGAGATAGCTCAGCAGGTAGCTATGCTTGCCATGTATTCTAGTTTGGTTTCTGTTATAATAAAACACTGAACAAAACCAACTTGGGAAACAAAGACTCATTTCATTTTACAGATAGTTCTTCACTAAGGGAAGCTAAGGCAGGAACTCAAGGCAGAAACCTGGAAGCATAGTCAGGGGGTACGTTTCTACTGGCTTGCTTCCAGGCTCACATTCAGCTACCTTTCTAATACTGCCCAGGCCACCTTTCTAGGGATCGTATGTCATGCAGTGGGCGGGCCATCCTACATTAATTAGGGATCAAGAAAATGTCCCTATCTGACATACCTACAAGTCAATCTAAAGGAGCCAATTCTTCAACTGGGGTTCTTCCTAGCTGTGACAAGTTGACAACCAAGATTAGCCATCACATCACACACACTTGACTACCTAAGTTTAATCCTCAGATGCCTCTGACCTCCCCACATGCATATGGTGACACCTGTACTCACATGCACATACGCAATAAAAATAAACTTAAGAAAGAATAAAGTAAGACCACAAGCCCATACCTGCTGTGGGATAACCTCTCTGTGTGCTGTGGATATGTTTTATTACCACTGGTTACTAAAGAAGCTGCTTTGGCCTATAGCAAGGCAGGATAGAGCCAGACAGGAAATCCAAGCAGAGATACAGGGGGAAGAAGAGCAGAGTCAGGGGCAGATCCCAGCAGCCATCAGAGCAACAAGATGTACTAGAGAACAGGTAATACCACGAAGCCATGTGGCAAAATATAGATTAATAGAAATGGGTTAATTTAAGTTTTAAGAGCTAGTTAGTAATAAGCCTGAGCAATAGGTTTGTAATTAATATTAAGCCTCTGAGTGATTATTTTAAGAGCAGCTGCAGGACCAGGCAGGACAGAAAAGTCTGTTTACACATACTATATACAGAATTCAACTCACAATGTAGCAAAGACCCAAATACAAGAGTTAAAACTATAAAATGTGTATAAGAAAACACAAGTGTATCTTTATGAACTCAGATTAGGTAACAGTTTCATAACAATGATGCCAAATCACAGAACACATACACTTGACCCTAGCATGCTCACCACAAAGCCACACACACACACTTAACTCCAACACCCTCACTACAGAGTCTCACACACACTCGACCCCAGAGCCCTTTAGTGGTTTGAAAAAAAAATGGCCCTCAAAGGTTGTGGCACTACCAGGTGTGGCTTTGTTAGAATAAGTATAGCCTTGTTGGAGGAAATGTGTCACTGTGGAGGCAGACTTTGAGGTCTCATATATGCTCAAGCTACACTCAGTGTGACACAGTCTATCTCCTGTTGCCTGCAAGATGTAGGACTCTCAGCTACTTCTCTAGCACCATATCCATCTGCATACCACCATGCTCCCTGCCATGATGATAATGGACTGGACCTCTGACTTGTAAGTAACCACTTCAATTAAATGTTTTCCTCTATAAGAGTTGCTGTGGTCATGGTGTCTCTTTGCAGCAACAGAAACCCTAAGATGAGCCCTCACCACAGATACACACAACTTGACTCAGAATCTAGAGAAGCTGAAGCAAATGGAAACTGGAGAATGCATGGGCCAGTGGTCAACACACTAAGCCAATGAGCAGTGACAAAGTGGCCAGCAGTGGCTGCCACAATGGCTGCCCTGCACCCCACTTCTGTTCACAGCCAAGCTGCTACTTCACTTTACCTTCATTTCTCTGTGACTAACCACCTGAAGCTGTTCGGCAGATGCCATTCTGGGAAAAGTAGTTCCAACTCAGCTACACTAATACAAACAACATTGACCAAACTTATAGATATTCTCTTCCATCTCTTTAATTCTACCTGTACAATGACATTTTAGGGCTGCCTCTTACAATAATATACAATGGACTTTTCTTATATCGTAAGACTATCTTTTAACTGTCATGCTTAATCCATTCTTAATTATTGGGATTTTACCACTTTCGAAATTAAATAAAACAAATGAAAACAAAAACCAGTGGAGGCTAGGGAGATGACTCAAGCATAAACATAAAAAGCTGGATGTAACACATGCACTATGAGCCCAGAACTGTTGGAGATGAAGACAGGAAGATGGCTGGCTGGGGCTTGCTAGCCACAAGCCTAGCTCCAGTTTCAGTGAGAGACTCTGTCTCAAGGGACTATGACAAAGGTAGAGCAGGGCACCCAATGTCTCCTCTCCTGGTGCTGCATACAAGGGCACAGGTTCACAGGCACACTTGATACACAGCACACATACCTAAAGGCACACATACGCACAAAAAGAACTGTTAAAGCCTAGTGTGGTGGCACATGTCTGTAATTTTTGTGGTCAAGAGGCTGAAACAGAAGGTTTGATTACAAGTTCAAGACCAATCTGGGTACATAGTAATACCCCAACTCAAAGGGGGGAGGCTTTAAATTAAATAAAATTTACATAAATACGTTTTAAGGAGATAAATACGTGTACTCTAATATAGTCATTACACAGTAGAATCTGATACAGTGATACAGAGTTTGTATATCATTTTAAAGGCTTTTAAATTTGATCCTTAGAACCAAAATAAACAACATAAATAATGTTAAACAATATATGTTTCAAAGCGTTGCATTAAAAGGTACGATTTTTAGATTTTTATCTATCAGCTAAAAGACACCTAAATTTTAAAAATGAAGCAATTCCCTGCACCAGCAAACACAATTTGCATTTCTGAAATACTTTATCATGTAGCCTATTGCTTACCACTTCTCCTGCAGAGGCAGCCAGCATGTGCTTCACGGGCCTGAAGTGTGAAGCTGAGTCGGTGTGCAGCAAACATTTCACATATTCATAGGTGAGAAAAAACATAGCAGCTGAAATGTAAAAATCTCTTTTAAGTGTAAATATCTCACCTACTAAGTAATGTCTCTCAAAAGCTGTGACAATAATAATTATTATAATAACTGGCAAGTACACGCCTTTTTCCACCCTCTTATAGAACTATGGAGTCTGAACTACATTATTGACCTTGGACTTGGAGAAATGCAGAAGACATGATCCCTATCTGAGTGCACTCAGCGGGTAGCCTGGCACGGCCATGCTTCATTTCCTAGCAAACTTCTTAGAGAGGACTGTGGGCTTCACAGACCCAAACAGTATTACATACAGTCGTAAAAACAAGCAGCTGCTGAGTTACACATAGGTTAAGACCTTAGACACATAACTTAAGTAAATGTCGAGTCTACAATGTTTATTGCAGATTATACAAAATAACCATGCTACTTTTCACTACTTCAAATACTCTTTATAAAACAAACATGGAAACAATCAACTACTTCATTAAAAATGGAAGTCGGTGCCAGGCTTGGTAGTGCACACCTTTAATTAAAGCACACTGGAGAGAGGACAGGCTGATCTCTGTGAATTTGAAGCCAGTCTAGTCTATATAGCAAGTTCCAGGATGAATAGACATGTTATACACTGAGACTATCTAAGGAGAAAAAAAAGGAAATCAGTTGAAAGCTACCTCTATTGCTACAATCAGAGCTGTACACGAGGCTTTAAAACTTTCTGTGTACTACCAATCAAGAGATTTATTTTTACCTCTTTCATAAGAGGATATTGAACAACAAATTCATCTTCTGAAGGACATGAGAGCATTAAACACTCAGAAAAACAACCCGACAAAGAAAACCATTTCCCGAAGTCACCCAGTGTGTAAAGGGCTGCTCACACGAGTAATTACAAACACAACAGCTGTGATGTCGCTGTGTCAGGTCTATTCCCGTATGTGTTCCTCACACTGTTTCCCCCACTCTGGCCCATTCACACACGTCCAATTATAAGGGCTCTACAGCATTCTGCTCTATGGTCTGCAGGTGCATACACCCCCTAAGTCTCGCCTTACCCCCAGAGAAAGGAGGCAGCTGAAGGTTCCTAGGTTCCACCATCAAGCACCTCAAGACTGTCATTTACAGCTACTTTTGTGAAGGAGAGACTTAAGTTCCAGCCCCTGCCACACAGGTAGCATCCAAAAAGGCTCTAGAGTTGAAAATGATGGCACAGTCCAACTCTAAAAGCTCTGAGCAAAAAAGGGAAGAGGAGGTGGGCTAGCCATGGCCCCTACTTTACACCCCCAAAGAACAAAGCCCCAGCCAGACTGGTGCTTCTTCTGTTATGTTCCTGTCCAAAAAGCAATGGGGCTCTTTAAAAGAACTCCCCACACCCTCTCAATCCCTTGCCTGTGCAGCTGGTTCTGTTCTCAGAAATGTCCATAGTCACTGATGGTTACGGTGGATTCTGCACCCAGACTAGACAGAGGCTAACCAGTAACAAAAGAACAATGTTTTCACAATTAAGTTTTGACTCATCCAAAATTTACAGAAAACCCCATTTCTAGAAGGCTTTGCTTTGACTTTGTCTCCTGCACTTTGTGGTATAAACGGCAAAAACTTTGAACATAGCCTTCCCAGAGACAGACAGACACACAAACACACGTGTATAGATGCTCATGCGTGTGTGCACACACACACAAAATCAAAAACCTATCCTATATGTAAATGCCTTGAAGAAGAACGTAAAACAGTCTTGTGAGCTTAATCACAGAACCGTGGACCACATACACCACCGGTGATGTCACACCTGCCTGAACCCTAACTGTACTATGTGAGAGAGTGAACCACAAAAGCGACAAAACTACTGACCCAAAGCTATGAGCACAGAACACAGTCCTCTGCACATCGCCTGCTCAAAGGTCCTCAGACTTATCTGCAGAGGAGGATTGCCCTGGGGTTTTAAACTGCCAGCGTGTGGACACACCTGAGACTAATTGTACCCCAATTCCTGCAGGTGGGCCACTGATATCCATGTGGCTTTAAGCTGCTTGTTGATCAGGTCATTTGACTTGGGACAAGCCTGAACCTTTGTCCATACTAAAAAGTGTGCACTGTACATGCACTATACAATGGGGGCTCAACAACAGCTCAGTAATCTTCAAAGACGAAGAGTCAAGGGTCACCTGAGTGACTCCTTGAGGATGGGGAAGAAAGTGAAGTTGACAACAAAAGGGCAGAAAGACTACCTTTTCTCTGCATTGATGGGCACGTGAGCATCAGGTTAATATAGTCATTCATTATCCTAGGAAAAGAGAAGAGGGAAAACGAACCCCAGGATTTAAGAAGCCCCTAGAGCCATGATTTTGTGGGTGCAAGCTATGTACCATTTTTGCTAGCTGGTTCAGTTTACTTGTGAGCATTAAAAGCATCCATCAGGGACTGGGAGATGGGAGGTGGACACAGCTTGGGAGAACACTGCTCAGCACATGCAAGGTCCTGGGTACAACCCAAAAGAAATATAAAGTGCCCATTGGTAGACAATTAAAATCGGGTAAGTGCTAAAAACAGATAACCTCAGAAGTGTTAAATGAAAACACATCAACCTTATTATCCCATGAAAATACCAAAAGTCACGACAGGACTTTAAAACCCAAACAACAGGCACTGGCAGGAGAGTATCCAGGACAACCCAGCGAAGCGCCATCCTCGGCAAAGAGCAATTTAAGGAAACGCCTCTCTGTCTCACCTGCTCACATTCCCAAGCAGGCACCATCCAACCAGCTCCATGCTGGGCTCACCTAGGAGGCTTCCAACACACCTTTATAAAGCTGCCCAAAAATTCTGGCGTGCAGGCAAGGTTAAAACCACTGCTCTAAGGAATCATGATGAAATGCAACATTTTAAAGATTCTAAACTGGGGATTTAAACAGCAAAACTATTTTAAAAAGATTATCTTCTTTTTCTGTATAAACATCCTGGAACGGAATTTATAACACTCTCTACATTCTGTTTAAATATAACCAAAGAACAAAACATAAATCCAGAAGATCAGCTGTAACACATAAGGAACTTGCTGCAGATAACATCTTACCCTATTCTGAAAAGAAATCCACTCTCATGGTTTCTGAGCGGTGTGAATATCAACACCCTTACCATTAGGAAAGGACCCAACAGCTGTAGAAGGGACGCCAGCATATATTCCACGGAAACCACCAGCCTTGTTGAATCCTTGGGGACTCTGCAGCCTTGTCTTAATAGTATCCAAAGGAAATAAGATCAAGTCAACAGAGGCACCTGCTACTCCTCCAGCCTGTGCAAAAGGAGGGGGAAGAGGGAAGAGAACAGTGAGCTCTCAGGCATGGAGGACAAGAAAGCAGCCTTTTCTCCTTCCCCACACTAGACAAGTGCTCCACACCTGAGATACATCCCCAGCCCCAAGTCTTTAAACAGCTTCTCACATCTTTGAGTCCACCAATTTCTTTGCAATACTCAAAGGACTTGCATTTTTTTTTCTCATTACAGATGGTTGTGAACACATGTGGTTGCTGGGAATTGAACTCAAGACCTCTTAACCACTGAGCCATCTCTCCAGCCCCCAGGACTTGCATTTTTAATAAGAAAATAAAACACAATTTATTTGTGCTATACTTGCAACTTGTACATATCTTTACTTTTTAGATGAATTTTAATGAATTAAATTTATTCTTAAAACAAAATTAAAGCTCATTCTTAATTTACTCATATAATTCAATAACTGCTTAAACAGCCATTAAAAAATAAAAAGACGGGTAAATAGTATAAAGTACCCTAGTTACTCAAGAAGCTACTCTTAGTAGTTTCTTGTTCTGTCTTTCCAAAATTACCATAGTCACATGTAGGCAAGCACGGGGTACTCTTTTCTTACTTATTTTGATTTCTTTTTAAAATTTTCTATGTGGTGTATGCACTGTTCCTGTGGGCGTGTGGAGAGCAGAGGCAGACCTCAGGCATCTTTCCTTGATTGCTCTTTACCTTAATTTTTGAGACAGTAATTCACTGAACCTGAAGCTTATGAACTCAACTATGGTAACTGGTCAGTGAGCCCCACCCCACTTTGGAGACAAGGTTTCAGGTAGACCAAAGTAGCCTTGAACTTGTTACACAATCAAGGATGACCTTCGAAGTGTGATGGTACAATTATACACAATGGAATACTATTTAGCTGTCAAAAAAATTAAATTAAATTTACAGGAAAATGGAACTAGGAAAGATTATAATGAGTGAGATGACCCAAACTCAGAAAGACAAATGTCCCATGTTCTCTCTCAACTGCACTTCCTAACTCAGAATATTCACTAAGTGTATATCACTTTAGGACCATGAAAGTAAAAAGGAACTATGGTAGGAGCTAGAGAAAGGAATAGCAGATTCAGGTGAAATGAAGTGGGGGGAGAAAAAAAGAGAAGGAAGTTCTGTTTTATGGCAGGGGGAAGGAAGTCAATACAGAATGAGAGGGAGAGAGGAGGGACAAAAACACCAAGGATATTAGACAAAGCATCAAAGGATCATATTATTTTATACTTACCTGAAATTATACACAGTGCGTGTGTGTGTGTGTGTGTGAGAGAGAGAGAGAGAGAGAGAGAGAGAGAGAGAGAGAGAGAATGAATCTTAAATGAAGCTATTCCACTTGAGCTTACAATAAGCCTTCTTCCAGTGGTCCTATCTTTCACAGTATTAGAACTACCCACGCTGCCAAGGGAGGAAGTAACCAATAGTCCTAGCCAGCTGTGACAACAATGTATTTTAACAATGACCACCATAGCAAGCTATCCCTAAAGGTGCAGGAGTGGCAGTCACATCTTGGTGGCAGTCAACTGCTGTCTAGTTGACTTAAGATCCACTCAACAAGAGGAACATCATGCCTGGTACTAGAAACCTAACCAACTAACTGGAACTAGTGAGGTCATGAATCCGAGAAGAGAATCCAACACCATCACTTTATTAGACCAGCAGAAACTCCTACCTGCATTCTAAAATGTATCCTCATGTTCACAGGTAAGTGTAGCTCTCACCTCTCATCAAAGAAGTTTCTCTTTACGGCAAATGGAGATGATTACTGAAAACCACAACAGGTCATGTGCAGAAATCAAGGATCATGGAAAGCCTGGTCCCAACTGATACATCTACAGCATAATTCCTGCATCAATGGGGAACACTGAAGAGGAGACAGAAGTCTGCTATGGACTGTATCTCCTAGAGGTGAGAGGAAGTCACACCCATGATACCTCAATAAAGCAGCTACCCAAACAAGACCTGAACAATGATAATGTCAATAGACAAGATAACACAGAAGGGAGAACTCTCAAGGGGCCCCATTCATAGACAAAAACCTATAGTTAGCTAACAATGCTGGGAGAAGGTGAATTACCCTCCCAGGGATGAGCCCCTAATTGGTTACCCAATACAAAGTTGTCAGCCCTGAAATCATGCACACACAAGCCACACCAAAGGACTCAGGAATGTATTTATATATTTATGCACTTTTTTATGTAACAATAACAATCAAAAGAGGCCATTAATTTGAGGGATTTGGGGGCATGGAAAGGGCTGGCAGAAGCAACATGAGGTAGAAGGGAACAAGGACAAAGAAGGAAAAAAGTGATATATTCTAGTTTTAAGACTTAATAAAAAGTGAAAATAAATAAAAACAAAAGAGAGTACCCAGATGTAATGGCATAGATCTGTAATTCCAGCACTGAGGAGGCTGAGTCAGAAGGAACTGGAATATATAAGACCAGCCTGGACCATAGAAGGAGACTGTCTCCAAATTAATTAAGTAACTAAAAATGGATGGCATACCATATACAGACCATTCTATAGTGCTTTTATGTTGTTCAACAATTTATCCCACGGCCAAATCAGACCTATATTCTAGTCTGTCTTTTTACTACTGGGTACTAAATCTGCATAACAACTTTTGGGGGTCTTACATTTTCAGACAGCTAATAATTCTTGTCCACCTAGAAAACTACAAATCCAAACACAATGCCCTGAAAGGTCTAAAGCGCCATTCGCAGTGGGTAGACCAGACCACTGCAGATCAGAGTCCTCAGAGCAATCTGTAAGAAGTCTGCCAACCATTTCCATCTTTTTAGTATCAAACCATATGAGCATAATCTCTTTGAAATACAGAAATTAACAATTAAAAAGTATGTGTCCATGGCAAAGAAAGGAGGGGAAAAGGAAGAGAAAAAAGTGGGTACTATTCACACTTATGGGCAAAGTTCAAATTTAATCTAAGCTTTGAGTTTACAAACTTTTCAGTTTGGGCGAAGCTAGTGTCTGGTAGATCGACTTGCTCTACTCGCCTTTCAGCACAAAACTACTGCAAGAGTTAAGTGGGGAAAAAACACTGGTGAGAAACAGCGCAATGGCTATTTCTAATTAAATAATACGAGGGAATTAGTAAAAGCTAAAGGAGATTGGAAAATGCATTAACACAGTGATACTATGATGGAGGAAGGTCATTGGCTAATAAAGGAACTGCCTTTGCCCATTTTATTGGTTAGAAGATAGGTGGGAGGAGTAAACAGAACAGAACTCTGGGAGGAAGAGGAAGTGAGGTCAGACTCGACAGCTCTCCTCTTGGGAGCAGACGCCTCAGAGAGACGCTACGCAACCAGCTCCCAGGCAGACGCACACCATGAAGCTCCGACCCAGGATGGACATAGGCTAGAATCTTCCCGGTAAGTGCACCTAGGGGCGCTACACAGATGATTAGAAATGGGCTAAATTAATATGTGAGAATTAGCCTAGAAGAGGCTAGATAGAAATGGGCCAAGCAGTGATTAAATGAATACAGTTTGTGTGTTGTTATTTTGGGTAAAGCTAGCCGTGGGGGCGGCCGGGTGCCGGGGATGCAGCCCCGCCGCCCTTATTACTACAATACTACATGATCAGCCTAAAAGATATAAAATAACCATAAAGACTATGATGTGGATCACCAAAGAGCTCTGAGATGTGTCAGGAGAGGGCTGCAAACAGTACTAAAATGGGTAGGCCAGGCAGCGGGCCTGCTGTAGCCCGGGGCCGGGTGGGAGACTCGCTGGAGCCACAAAGAAAGAAGGGAAAGAACAGACAGGGGCGTTCGGACATTCGGCACCCTCGAAGAAGCTCACTGTGATATGGAACTGAGCAACCCTCTGGCCCCCTTTCACGTTTTCAAAAGGAATTTTATGCAGTTCGGAGAGTAAACATTCTGCCTGCCTTCTCTCACAACACAGCACAAATCTAGTGAGGACATGTGACATTCACCCAAGCTGCACCCTAATTTCTCTTTAATCTTCAGCAAGTTCAGAAAAACGCTGGCTATCTGGCTAAACTTTAATAAATGAGTTACTCTCTTAATGTACGGTAGCTGTGCACGAGTTGATCTTCTAAACCTCTTTTCATCAGAGTCCTTATCTTCTGAGGATAAAATGATCAGATGCAATCTATTGATCTAGTGAAACAGAAATAAGAAGTTACTAATTGCTTGTGTGAATTTCAAGCTTCTATAACCAAAATGTCATTTAACTCTATGAGAATTAAAAAACAGAAAATCTAAGAGTGTCTATTCAGACACACAATATATTTAACATTTAAGCAAAACCTTTATGGAATGTGTGCGATTTGACAGGAACTTTGTGTACATAACCACAAGCCAATACCAGCTGGATTATAAGAGACACTATCATTTTCTCTTGTTCTTTAAGCTTGCCAAAAAGGGTATTGGGCAACTGACTAAGCTCAATATTTTGAGTGGCTTATGCTGAAAAGTGGCTATATGCTATAAATTCAAAACAAGATAAAATGGGATGGGGCAGAAAACTCACAAGCTGTGCACAAACCAACAATTAGCCAAGACCTCAAACACATCAGTGTAGATAAAACACACGCTCTGCCTCAAGTCAGCATCTGTAAGAAGTCCTGGAGTGCTATGGGGAAGTGATTGCTGTTTTGAAATTATGCAACTATTGTTTGGAAATCGCTCAAGGAATTGAAAAGGTCAAGACTGCATGCTACCAAACCTTTTTCTTGAACAGACACTGGCTGGACAGCAATGTGAAAAATCACCATGGCTCTCTTTTCAGGATAAAACCTAAAACACCTGTGTGATATAAGCAACCCCAACACTAGCCAGCAGCCCATAGGACAACTGAGCCAGCTAGACCAGCACGGCTTCTTGGGAAGCCATTTCTCCTGATGTTTTCAGCCGACTGCATATTCAAAGGGCCATCAGTCATCTACTAGCTATCTTCCACATCTCAAACCGCTGTCCCTGCTTCC